AAAAACCTATACAGTAAAGTATGTAAGTAGAGCATCTAGCAATAATTCTGCTTTGGGTGTGAGAGATAATGGCCTATGTTTCAGTGGTAATAAAAATGTTCTATTAAGTTCTCTGAACCCATTGCAATGTGATAGAAAACAGCAAATGATGAAACAGTGCTTTGAGGGGAGCTTGCACATTCAACAAACATAAAATAAACACATTAAAATAGAAGAAAACCCTGATTTCCAGTACTTATTGTTTTATCACTTCCATCATGGGTATAGGATAAAAGAAAACTCTTACTTGCTTGTTAGAAGAAGAAAGCTCCTACTTGAAGTTCTTACTTGGCAGATGTCAGTTGAAAGCTCTGCTATGGAATATGCTGCAATGTCAAACTCTGTTGGGTAATTTTAGACAAATGTGTCATGTGTGACATGGAAATATGGCATGCTGTACATTAGTGATTTCCCAAGTGTTTGGATCAGGTAGTAATGTGCTGAGAAAGTGCTCTTTATCTCTCCACGCTGTGTACTTGTATAGCAGTGGGGAAAGGCTTTTGGTAGAAATTACTTTAGTCAGAAAAAGAATCCATTTACAATCTGTGCCTTCTAACATCTTTCAGACAATGCATTGTATTAAAGAGGCATTTTTTGATTAATGTTTTATAAACATTTTTCAGCATGACAGCTTAAAGTCCCTGTAAAATTGTAAATGCGTGCATAGTGCTCACTTCCATAAAGTCAAATGCCATCTCATAAAGTCTGCTTGGATCCTGTCAGTGACAGTGACACAGAATCAGTACCTTGGAGCATTAAAATTAATTTGCTTCATTTATATTACTGCAGTGATAGCTAGATGAAAAGAGTCTTATATTTAAATTCTCTTAAAAATACCTTCAAATCTTTTAGGATTTTTTATTATTATTATTTGCCGGTTAACTAAATGTAGTGAAGTGCAGCATAATATTTTCATGGGCTTTTTATGAAGGTGACTACAAAATGTGAAGTAGCAAAGGGGAAAGGAGAGGATGTGGGAGGTTATACTGAGTGCAGAGCTGGAGGACAGATAAATAGCTTTCCGTTGTGTGGGCAACTAGAGAAACAGTGGCCTTTGACCAGGGCTGATGGTCCACAGCCTTGGAGCCAAACTGGAGTACCCTGGAGCAATGGAGAGCAACCAGGGCTTTCCTCAACCAGGCTGTAAGAGCAGCCCTCTCTTCCTTGCCATTGTGGCAGGTCATGGATAAACAGCTTTTTTTCCTTGCTAGCTCTTCCTCGGGTTTGCAGAGTTCTCATGTGAAATGGACTGGGTGAGGACACAAACAGGGAGAAAAATGAAATGTATTCCATATTGCACACCTAACTCACTTCTAGTCGCAGTGGGACTGTGGTTTTGGTGCCCACTGCACTTGGTGGAGCTTAGTGATTTTAGTGGAAATACCCCAAATTTACACTGCTGCAAGTGAGCACAGTCAGAGGTCTTGGGAAGCAAAACCAAGAGGGCTAGGAGCATGGGAGTGGAGGAGGAAAGCCTGTAACTTCATAAACCACAGCAACATGAATGGGTGTTTGCAGCATGAGCCTTCAGACCGTGCCAGCAGTCTTAAAACCTAACGAGAAGATTGTATAGAAACTGATAATGCCAGTGTTCGCCTTCAGTGTCAATCAGGATGAAGACCCATAGAAGTCACTTCAGTTACCCTGAAATGCAGATTAGCATGATTAATGACTGTGAAAAGAAAACAAAAAATCCTTACAGGTATTATTCTTTATACATGTGAATGCAGCCTTAATATTCCAGATGGCAAATAAATGCCCTAGGGGGGGTGGAGGGAGGGAGGAAGGAGCTGCTGGGTGCTTTGAGGGAACTTAAGACTAAGGTAGTGGTCTGGGGTTTAATATCTGCGATTGCATCCTGAGCAAGATTTCATTTATCTTAGTGTAGCTATCGTACTCCATTAGCACTGGAAGCAATATGCTATAAAAGATGAGGAAAAGAGGAGTGGAGAGCCCAAAATAAAGATAACCATCTCGATTTTGCGTAGCACCTTCATTCCTTGCTATCTGAAAGACTTAAACTCATCTCACTTTATTAGTTTTGTTATAGCAACACGTGTTCATGTCACTACTGTTTCAGTCAGTGTTCCTGTTGGCGCTCACCTGAATTCTAGTTCATAATCTCATCGTGAAAATGCATTGTGGACTAAGACTCAGCATACAGCAGCAGCCCAGGCGTTATAATGCTTCTTATGGCTGGGATTTGGTTGGCATTTTGCTTGGGCTTTTTCAAGTGTGGGTTTTTTTAATATACATACACATATATATACACACACACAGTTCTTTATTTTTTTAAGGGGGGGGGGGGAAAGTAACTATTAAAATAAGTTTTCCCTAATTAGTAATTTGCAGGAGTTTTATGTGTTTGTAAAACATTAGCAGTCACACTTGCAGTTATTATGTATTGCTACGAAAAAGTTTAAACAACATTTTTAAAAATGAATAACACCTATGCTGTTTTGTTTAGCTTTGTGGTAGTGTTACTGACACAAGCATTGGTGACTGTAGTCTGTGGATCTCTGCCATGAAATATTTTCTGAGAGTTGCATATGGGTAAAGTTGGAGCTGTAAAAGTCAGAAGGTGCATAAAATGGCAAAAGGTCTTTTTCCTTCCATTGAATTCATGCTTACCTGCAAAAATTGTTATTGTTTCTTCTTTTCACCAGTTAGTTTTTTCCTGGTAAATAACAGGAACTTTAATTGCACATTAGTGCCTTACAAGGACCTATTGTTGTGACATGTATTTAAACAAGCTGTGAATTAAGAACCTCTTTCCACCCAGTGATCTAATTATATTGTCACGCTAATTATAGTATTTTGTATTTATATTTGACAACTTTAATTTTCTTTTCCTAGTTTACTGAAACAGCTTTCCTCTAGAGGATTTACCTTTTAGGCTGGAATTTCTCATCTTTTCTTTCGGTTCAGAAAATGTACAGTAATTTAAAGCATGTCTCAGTCACTCTGGATCCATTCTGTTCACGTCTCTGCCGTTAGTTTGCTGTGTGATCTTAGGCGAGTCATTTTAGCGTTCTCTGATTCTCTGTAGGAGTCCTGTTCAGCTTTCTAAACTGTTTTAGGATCTATGGATGAAATTGTGCTACCAAAACACCAGGTACTGTCTTACAAACACCAATATAGCATGTTCACAGCTTGGCACTCTAGTTTGTTTTTCTGCAGTTAGAGAACAGAAAAGGACCCACAAGGGTCAAGCTGAGTCTTGGAAACAGGCAATAAAACCATGATCTGTTTACAAAACCAGAATGATGGGCGTTTGCAGTAAATTATACTCCTTAATATAACATGAATGTCCATTTAATTTCTGTCCAAATACTATCTGTTGCCAAGCCCCAGAAATTAGTGTTAATCATAAGCAGTCCTGTTGTGTGATAGGTCCATGATGTTGTTTTGAAGGTAATTATTTAATAATCTAGAAATGAAGCACACAAGCCTTTATTTTATTTAATCTTTCTCTTGAAATATCCACATAAGTAAAGGCTATGGGGATGAGATCGTTGGTGGTGTAATGTGAAGAAGCTAATCAAAATAAACACAAGAAATTGTGCTGTGGAAACATCACAAAGATTTCAGCAAGCCTAGATGTGTGTCAGCAATAGTGGGGCACTGGTGGAGCGGCAAATATTCAACAGATAAGCTGTTTCCTCATGGAGGAAGGAGGCAACTTTTATTAAGGGAAGCTTGAAAGGCTATTGAGAACAGGAATTTATCCAAGACATAGAAAAAAAGTTTATGTAAACATGCTGATCTGAAACATCTACTAATAGGGGACTAGAGGGCATGTGCCATAAAGCTCAGCTCTTTGTCGTTGCAGAGAAAGGAAACGAGCTCTGTAAAAACTGTGTGTAGTCTGCTTCGCTGCAAGGTTGATGCTGGGGGAAGATTCCTAGAATGACATTTAAGATGAGGGTGAAAATAAGCTATGTTCTCAGGAGGCTCCTGAGGAATCACAGCTGTTCTTGTTTGCGACTACCCAAGTGTCTGGTCAGGCAAGATGGAACTGGTTGCAGGGTTTGCCCACACCTATGCTTTGCTCAGCATGATAGCAAAGTTCCGAGATTTAAACAGGTTGTTTTGAACAATAACATAATCACTTTCATCACTGCAAAACTAGACCAAATTTAATTTTACATATCACGTCATCAAGTGGGAAGATTATTCATGCACATCTCTGATAGAATTAGCGCTGTTGAGTGCAAATTCAGGCTCTTGGGGAAAACGGCCCACCTCTAGATCTTAACACTCGCTTCTTTCAATGTCTAGCAACTTCTGTACTGCAGCTGCTCCCTGACTCTTACAGGCATGACCACTTCATGTTGCTCACTTGGTTCCCTAAACCTTTTCTCCCTCGTGCTGTGTCTGGTAGAGCAGAGAGGTTTGTCTCTGGTGCATGAGCACGCACCTGACGAGCGCTTGACTCTCCACCTTGACTGCACAAATCAGTCAAAGCGGGGAAGGCTGGCACTGGGGTACCCACCAACTGGGAGTCCACCAGGAAAACTCAACCCTCCCTCCCATGGTGAACAACATGAAGAAAGGTGACAAGCAGGAGTCGAGCAGGTTGGATGGAGGACCATCACGAAACAGAGCACAGTGAGAGGAAGCAGTACAGGACCGAACATTCATGCTAGAGCAGAATGTCTTTTATATCTAGCAGGAGTTTGACAGCTGTTAGCACAATTGGAAACATCTTTTATGGCATTCCCCTACTCCTTCCTTTCTGCCACAGCACTTACTCTGCTGTGGTTTTTTTTTTGTTTATGTTCTTACTGGTTTATTTGGGTTGGGTTTGTTTTAGTATAAAACTTGTGAGTCTTCATTTTGTTTCATTTGGGGTTTGGTGGGTTTTTTTGGTGAAATTTCAATGCAGCTTAAATTGCTTTGCTTGTATCTGTAGCTCAAAGTTTGAGGTGAGAGTCTGTCTTCTGTTTTTCTGCCTGCAGGGATTCCAATGCTGAAGATAGTATTTGCGGGTTATGAGCATCTGTCCTTAATTTCCGTCCCCTTACTCATCTATCATCCTGCGCAGATTCTTCTTGGCAGTCTGTTGGTACCAACAATAAAATCTTGGATGGTTTCTAGGCAAAAGGTAAGAATTGCTCATTTTGATTTGTAATGGAAAGTGTGCTGTGAGAAAAAAAATACCTAAATACATGTCTTAAACTCCTTAGGTTCCTTCTTGTAGATCCCATGGTAGGGATTTTTCTGTTTCTTTCCTTCCTTTATGACAGTGATAGTCACAGTAGTATCAAATTTGAAGTGCTCATCTTTATCCCCCTTGGCTCTGAAAGGGTTCAAATCCTGAAGTTAGACTTCTACAGTTAGTTCAAGTTAGAAGTTCATTCAAATTCTGAATTCAGATTGTGCTGGTGAGAACGGCTTCATCTTTAGCTAATCATCACAGCTTTGGATCTCTCGTATGGGGAAGTGACAAAGATATGTCCTCTGGCATGGGAGCTGGGAAAATCAGGTAAAATGAGGACACTTTCTGAATTGATTTGAAGCAGGATATGAAAACGTCTCTCTCTCTCTCTTTTTTTTTTTTTTTTTTTTTAACTTGAGTCACCCTTTACAGTAGCCAGAAGTCTACAGGAGTCTGTATCAGGTTTCATACCAAAATTATGGCATGGGATAGCTTGTAGGATTATAGACCATAACCTAGAGGTTTTTGCATTGACATCACTAATTTAAATTACACTTATTTCAGAACTAACTGAAGCTGTTGACATTTGACAGCCATTCTGTGATCTAGATTAAATAATTGCCATGGTTTAATCAGGTTCTCAGAACGGTAGTAGCCACCTCACAGAAAGCTAGTCCATGTGACTGGTTTTAATGCTGTCTTTAATGTTCTGAGATGATAAGGGTCACAAAGCTGTGGCAGCGGAAGCAGTCTCAGCCCTTTAAAGTGAAGGTTGAGACCTACTGCGGAGTGCCCAGTGCCAACAGTACCCCACATTCTCCGCTTACCAGTGGAGAATTTATTTTTATTTTTTTTTTAGAACTTACATGTTTCCAATTTTCAGCAAAACCCAACAGGCTGCCATTTTACTAGCTTCACTCCACTAAAGTCGCGTTGCTAATTTGAATGCTAAAATTCCCCAGACTGATGGTTTTATGCAGCTCCGCTTTTGGTTACCTGAATTGTAAAAAGCAGGAAAACTCTCCATTTTCAGGAACTGAGCCCAGAAATCAGACCTTGTTAAGATCTACTTATCTTAGCATCCAGAAACGAAAATTTGAGAATATGTAATTTCTTCATCAGTTTGAAAGTCATGATTTTTTTAAACTGGAAATCATCAGGAGACATTACAGGTTGTGTAAAGAAAATTCCGTGCTATTCCTGTAGAAAGATAGCCTAAAGTTGGCCCTGCTGGTAACAGAACAATCCCTGCAGTGCTGGCTTCTCTTCAGCATCTGACTGCTCTCTGCTGCAAAGACCAGGAGTGGGACTGGACCTCAGGCAAACCTTCCTGATCCTCAGGGGTGTGGTAATGGCCTTGAGGGGCTCCTGTCAGTCCCTGCAAGTTAACCCAGCCTTCAAACAGGGCCTCAGAAAAGTCAACCAGTACAGGAGAGATTTACAGTTCGCCAGCACTAGTTTCTTATTCATTAAGCATCAAATAAACCTCCTCTGCTAATCAGACTGTAATGCTGCTGTAGAACCACTCTGGGGGATTGTTGTTGTGTTGCACCAGTTTCTTTAGTTGGTCTTCTATATTATTCACAAATGTTATTTTAATTACTCTTTGAAAAAAATCAATGAGGTTGGGTCTGGTACGGTTGCAATAAGTATAATAGAAGTGAATGTTGTGACTGGATAATGGTCTCCTGCTTTGAAAGTAAACATGTCATCATCACCCTTGATGTTTATTTTCTATAAACACCTTGGCTTCATTTTGGCATCTCTCTTGCAGGGGGAGGCGGTTATCCAGTCACAGTACTCAACTGCAGTGACATTCTCACTTAATTATGATAGTACATGTGATCTGGTTGTATGAGATTGCATTTAAATATTTAGAGGTTCATCTACACTAAGGTATTTCTAGTTTGTAAATACGGCAGCAGAATCTGCCAAACTACAAAGTTAAGAAATTGTTTCCCCAAACAAAACGTGGAATGATGTCTCTCTCCAAAGTCTCTTGATGAATAATCTCCAAAAGACTAATCTCAAAGGGCTAGATTTAACAGTAGTTAACTGCTGGTGTTTCTGAAAGCTGGTGTTTGAGGGGAATATAGCCTATTTATTTTTAAAGGTTTCGATTTTTTTAAGGATTTACACTTGTGCTGGAGCGTTGTTCAAGCAGTGCTTACAAGTTTTAAATGTACAATATTAAAGGTTAATACCTACAATAAGAAGACCAATCAGAAATCTCTCAGACTGAAAATCGCTTGTTTAGCCAGCGCTGTGGAAATGATAAGTCTCTCACCTGACAGGCAAAGAACAGTCTGTCAGTGCATTTCCCCCAAAAGGCTAAGGAAAACGGAGCTTCCAAATTTCAGGAATTTGCAAATGCAACAGATTTCCCTCTCACTCGGGCCACTCAGCACCCCAGAAGTATCTGCAGCATTTTGTTGCCCATTATAAATCAAAATAGTGTCTTGTGCTGTTGGTCATCGTTTAGGAATATAAAACGTGACTGTTTTGTTTCTGTTCGCAGGCACTGAAGTTAACCAGGCAGCCCAAAGCACCCGTGAAGGTATAACGGTGGAGACGGCCCGTGTCACAGTGAATGTATATATGTACTATACTGTACACACAGACTGTTGAGACAACTGGGTATTTGTCAATGTTGCTTCAGTGCATATTTTATTTTTATATATACATATATATATATTAAAAA